TACGAGTAGACTTTATGTTCCCAAATGATTTAACATATCTTTGCTTCTCAAAATGTTTTCTCATCTAAAATGGACTAATGTTTCGACCTCGCCTAGGCCTCATCAGCCCCCCTCCCTAGTGGGACTTGAAACGTGATAGCGCAACATATAATCTAGATACGTTAACTCCTACGCCACACTTCCACCAATAGCCTTGAGTCACAGGGCAGATGTGAATTTCAAGGAAGTCCAGGCATTTTACCATATGACATTCAGTGATGATGAAACGTAGAATAATTTCCTTGTGTTTCTAATTATCAACTTGGTGTTTAAAAAAAGTGAAAATGATATTGAATTTTATTTTTATTTGTACCTTTTCCGTAACCTGCAGCTATTGAAATACAGAAAGTAGTGTGTCTACCAGACCATAAGTAAGCAAAAAATGATAAGCATACACAAGAAGGAATAGTTGAGGTCATTAGATCATAAAATTAGTGGCATGCCGCTATCAACATATATAAATTTACGTATGCAAATTAGCAAATTATTCGTTTATTTATTTAATTGTCTTTTTATTATCACGTAAAAAGCTTTTAGTTATTTAATAAATCGAATGGCTTATTCCCTAAATTTTGCCTAAATGAAATAAATTGATTGTGCATCTTGAACGGCTAAAGAGATATTAATAACTTATTATAATAGGTTGGTCGCAGTAATCGAGAATGTGATTGTAGTCTCTTAGCTAATGAATGATTATGAAAATCTGAGCAGAAAGTATGCAGAGTAGTCTTAAGAAAATTACAGTGGAGCATATGGGATCACTTACAAAGTGGAAAATAATATTGCCAGCATGAGCATCAAAAGTGAGGAGTTCCAGTTTAAAAGTTTGTCTTAACTCATGACTATGCGAGATATCTATGAGATGGGCATATCAAATCAAATCAAGGCATAAGAATGGTCATGGCAATAGAGAGAGTTGAGCTGTATGTTGACATCAAGAGTGGGTTAGCGTGTGCTACGCTTTTAACACAACTTGTATTACGCAAATGTTTTCTAATTAGGATCCTACATGGCTCCCTTCAGAATCCCCAAAAATTAAATATACAGGTTAAGGCAAAATGCCTAGCCTTAAGTGAATATAATGGCAATAATTTCTGATGTATGATGGGTAGTCTAACCGCATATTTTGGATAGGAATAGGTATCGAGAAACGAGCTCGCACTGGCCATTTTAAACGCAGGTCTTGGTCTCCACCTGTGTTATAGACCATGAAGAGCTTTGACTGAAGCTAAAATGAAATGTATGTAGAATATAGAAGCCTGTTAGGATACAAAGAGGAGAGAGACTAAATAACAAGGATAAGCATTTTAAATTCATCCGTTCTATTTTCGTACACCTCGCTATTTGTTGAACAAAAATATAATGTAGAGATTTTAGATCTAGCCAATAGCAAATTAATTCCAGGGTCCCGCCTGTCAGAAAACGATCAATTTTAAAGTACAATATCGTATTAACAAATCTGCTAAGTAAATAGTTACTGTCAGTATCAAGCATTAATAATTTTATAATTAGTCTGTACTATTCTATAGAGATATGCTATCGTTTTACCGGTTCACATTTAGTTATTTATAAAGAAGTAAAGGCTCACAGCCGTGGTTTCCGCCATTCCCCCGACGTTTGCTTGAGCTTCAGGTGAATGTACCTGAGTAGGCAGGAAGAAAAGACTTTTAGTTGAACTGTGCGTGTCGGCAGAAGCTGCTGTCGCGGCCTTAATCAGAAGGCGTCTGGAAGCCAGGCGCTCACGTGGGTTTGTCGCCTCGACCATCAAACCAGGACAACTTGTATCCCTTGTAACTTTTTCGCCTTCGCCCTCAGCCTCTCCATCCTCGATCGTCCGTCCGCCGCCAGAGACCTCATCAGCAGCATTTCCGACTTCTAAGGAGTCTGAACCAGAGATCACTGGAGAAATGGCTGATCTTACAAGAGCCAAACGCCTCGCAGACAATCCTAATATTGAGGAGGAACAAGGGGCCAGAGCAAGTGCAGCGGTTCGTTTGTCACCAGCAGACAATCGCTTGGGCTGGCCCGCTCCAACCGCCTCTGTTCCAAAATTGTCCTCCGGTTTTAAGCCTGCCTCAAGTACTCCCTGGTTGCCAAAAGGATCGGCAAGCAATGAGTTCCGTCGGGATGATACGACACCAATTCGAAATCCACTGGAGACCCCGTGTGGATCAGGTGCTTCTCTAAAGGCTCGAGCCATTGAGGTCCGATGTCGAGACCTACAAGTCGGGGCCAAATGTCCCGGGCCCCCACCGCTGCCACCGCTAACAGTAGAGGACATTCCTATTGGCTTCTCATGTACCTTAGTATGCCTTTTGCGTTCATCTGAGCGCGCAAATCGACGTTGACAAATAGGACAAGCGAAAGGTTTTTCACCCGTATGAGTCCGTAAATGCGTAGTTAAATGATCGGATCGACTGAACTCGCGCATGCATTGTGGACATTGAAAGGGCTTGGCACCAGTATGAATTCGAACATGACGAGTCAACTCGTCAGAGCGGGAAAAAGCCTTTGTGCAGGAGGGGCATTTGTGTGGCTTCCCACCGCTTCCTGCACTGAGACCAGAGGCAGCAGTGGCAGTGCCACCCAACTTGGGCGTAGGCGATGCCTTGAAAGAGATATCTGCAGTGTGAACAAGGGAGACACCATCGGAATCTTCTTGCTTTACCAGACCTGAGGTATACAATGCAAACAAAAAGCAAAGAACAGAACAATCAAGCTAAATTCTTTAAGCTATGGCGAATAGAAGATGAGATGTATTCACTCAATTTTGTTTAAGGTGATGAAGGACTAGTAAAAGAATTTTCCCACGTGATATGAGTAGAACTGACGTCTCCATTGAATTTCACATAGCCTTGCTTTCCCAAAAGTTGTTCTCATCCAGGGTGGACTACTTAAATGCAAAAAATAAAGTAACGTAGTCGATTGTTATAACAAATATACGTTTGCTTCATCTACAATCCCACCAATGAATATGATATGGCAAAATGCCTAACCTTCCTTGGAATTCTCATTTGCCCTGTGACCCAAAGGCACTCGTGGCAATGTGGCCGAGTGGTTAACGTGTCAAGCTCCTATTCTGTTTTGTCACGGTTCGACTCCCGTTGTGGGTGTTGATAAGACCGATGCGAGGTCGAAACTGCAGTCCACCCTGGATGGGAACAACTTTTGGGAAAGC